CTGTTGCCAATTCTAATTGGTTTTATATGTGCTGGTGAGCAGTGGAGTCTTGGAGCAAATGTGAATAGGGCGTAATGAGAGTGTTGTTTGATAGGGACGGCCTGCGGCTTGCTTCTCACATTGCATTCCCCAGCATCCGATCCTGATGGCTTTAATGCACTTATTGCCAAGCATTCCATTACAAGCCAATAACGATCATGCACCAGCACAGCCAAGCCACCCCGAAACATCATAACAGCCTCCTCTGGAAGGCTGTGGCTTGGTTAGATTAGGCCAAAGGTTTTAGCAGTATTTTACAAGGTAACCACACAACGGGAGGGTGCAGATTATATCAGACATCCAAACACTTCAGACTTGAACATTGTGGCGATGTTCTCGGGAGGCTTTGAGGATTTTTTGCTGCACATTCTAAAGATGGCGGAATGGTACAAACTCCCAGACATGAACACTGTTGCACTAACACCCTGTAGTGGTTGTAATGACCCCAGAAATAACATTTGGACAATAGCTCCTGAAGCCTATGAGCTTGCATTGCCACGTGGTTTTTGTGCCAAATGTTTGGAAGCTGTGATTTCTTCCAAAGGAGGTGTTACCAAGTCCTGACTGAGACCCAAACTTGTGCACGTGCAACATTCACTAATTTATTTTGCAATCTGTTCGTTTCAGCAAATAAAAAAGTAATTGTGCATTCAAATGTGGAGAAATATATCATGTTTAAATTTGAATCCTCCCGAGACTGCGTTCACTTCTTTTCACTTGGCGATTCAGTGAAACGTGCCAGTTGACCAGGGGTGCCCAAACCTTTGATCACAACTGTGCACGAGTGTTTAAATTGGTGGGCTCGTCTTTGAGTTCTAAAAACCCAGCACTTAACGTGAACAGATGTGCTTCACTGAACCCTATCAACGCCCCCCAGTACCTGATTTCCTCTGCAGGACAGATGGAATTACACTTTCTTCCAAAGAAGGAGGTAAATGCAATAAGTTTTATACAGCAGATTCACACAGGAAAGCTCACTCTAAGTTTCCATATTAGGAGATGTTTTTTCTCTCTACAAACAAAAACAGAAGGTGTGAAACTGAGCTAGACGCTTTGCGGTTGTAATATTAAAGTCAAAAGGTCAAATAATATGCTTGAATTATCCTTTTATACTGTTGCTAAGCACAAAGCATATGAGCTAATACAAATAGTCACTATTTTATATACTTAATAAAAAGGCAAATGCTCAAATTCTTCCTCAATGGTTTGGTTGCTTGAAGTGACCAGAAAGCCTTGATTGTGAATACTAGAAAAACAGAATAAATTGTCTTCGGTCTCGAACAGGATGAATATCCTTCCCCAGTCACAACTCCTAATGAGTCTATTAAGCAACCTAGTGTACATCCTATGATGCGCTGGGAATATACACAGAAGCTACTCTGTCTTGGAAGGCACATGTTGACCGCAAGTTGACTTTCTTCACAGGTTATGGGCTGTTGGTACCAGTAGTCAGGTTTTGTCAATGCATTTTCAGTTCTGTGGTACAGAATGTCATGCAGTGTGGAATAGCTCTCTAGTATAACAGATGTTCTCTGTGCAACAAGTAAGTCAAGATGTCCAAACTCTTGAAGATGTGTTCTAAGATAGTGGGCAGGTACTTGAGCAGAGCTTATAAAACTGCATGCATTAACAGTGCGCTGTTAGTATCTCCCTCTGTGTTCTGCAGGAAGAAAATCTACTGATGCCTTCCTGCAGTCGTTTTAAAGTCCCCCGATGCAGATCTTAGAAAGATGAGGAATTCCTTTATCCTACACCCAATCAAACCACTAAGTAAATTAGTTCACAGTGATTTCTGTAGAGTACTGGTTTATGGGCAAGTGCAATTAGTGGTTTTGTGCAGTTCTAGGGTTTTGGAATGATTGGTGAAATGCAGATGGGATTCCTGTAGGAGAGGTGTCTGATGAATTTGTACAGGTCCCCATTACCTGTAAAGCACTTTGAGTAGAGTGTCCAGAAAAGCTTTATATAAGTCCACAGCTCCAGGCTTTCCTGATCTTTGATAGAAGGCATTTGCACATGGTACAGTATGTTACTGCAGCAGTCAGGGAGAAGAGCTTTACTCTAGGGTACAACAGCAGTGTCTTGTCTGGGATGGAAAATCACCACCTTCTGTTTACAAGTCAACAACCACTGCTCCATACTGCTGTCCCAAACCTGTATTTCTGAGAATGTCCTGTTACCTGTTATTTCATAGATCCCAGTGGATAAATCAGTTGAAAAATTAATAATTGAAATGGTATCCTGATATCTCTGGATAACATTCTGAGGGGACAGACCCTGCTCCTAGTTATTCCTCATAAGGACACTGGTCTTAATTTTATCAGTGTCCTTAAAGGCTCCCAGCACAGTGTCCTGATATCATTCTTCTGTGGTCAGAAGAGTTTGTGTGACAGGGTTTGTGATTGAATCAGACGTCAGTGGAGGGTTTTCTGAAGGTCTCCTACAGGGCACCGTAGAGGCCTAGATAACTGTGACAATCCCACAGAATATAATTAACAGTAATTAACTTAACTGCTGGATCGGTTTACTGCATTATGCTAACAGACAAGCAATTTAATATGGGGTTTAGGATTTTCCTGGTGTCCTTCTGACATTTAAAAAAACCCACTCTGGTTTTGTGGAAGTCTTTTTGTGGTGAGGACCAGCTCAAAGCACTTTACAAACAACAAAAATGGAGACATTTAAGGCCTTATAATGCATCAATATATAAGAAAAATGGGGCCTAAATAAAAAGAAAAAACCTATATACAAGTTTAAATTATCTTCATTCAACAAAATGTACTTCAAGATCCTGACTCTTGAGATATGTAATCGTAACTGTTTTTAAAAGTGCTAATGTTCACAATAACGGATTCTCATTACTTTATATAATGTTCTTTTTTTTTTAGTTATGAAGAATATCGTATTGTATGCAAAAATAATTATAATATCAATGCTCAGAATTAAAGGCAGCTACGGGATTCATTTTTTGATATACAGTATCTAATCAATGAGTCTACTCAACTCACTCAAATTTAATTTTAATTCCAGACAGGGATGAGTCGCAAGAAGACTGATTCGGATGGGAGAAGTTTATAATCTAGGGTCTTGCCTTTTAGGGGTTATAATTGCCCATTGCACCAAGACAGTATTGAACGAAGTATGGAAAATGTTTTTACTTGTTTAAAGGCGAAATTTAAAAGAATAGAACTAGGATTAATTTACACTGCGGTACACAGTTAAACAGATTTTCAGATTCTTAATCTAATGTAAACGAATAAACTACGAATAAAACGAATGAACTTGTTTTTGAGGGCTTTAAGGTCTAGGGTACTGATTACAGGCAATCCTGACCTACATCTGTAAACTTCACGCTAATGTTTGCATCAGTAGTTCGAGAGCAGTTTAACCCTCTCCGTGCATGTTGATCAGATGTCTGGTCCGATGTTCCTTGTACTGTCAAACACTGACAATGTTACAGGCGCAGGGCAATGCGTAAATATTCCTATCACGAAAGATAAAGTGGGCGTGATTTATATTAACTGTAACATTTTGCCAATCCCTAGCATCGTGGGCGGCATCCTTGACATTATCTGCCCAACCAGCGCCACTGATTCACAATCTACTCCGGAGAAAAGGGGAGTGTTTGATTGGATTGAGCGCGGCCCCTTCTAAAAACTATGCAGTTGAGTGACACTTCGGTCTTCCAATCAGAGCTAGAAATGCGTACAGCTGGGTTAGATTGACGCGTTGTTGTCCAATCACAACCAAGCACTCGCAGAATACCGAGTAGGCGGGTTTTTATGCCGCTCTGTGGAGTCGCAATCCAATTCACCGCCGCGGAGGTTTTGGTGAAACGGACGGCGCCGCGCACCAATAGGAGCGACGGAAAAGAGCACCGGCCCAAGACGGACAGGGGTTCTGACCAATAGAATCAGAGAATGGGCGGTCGCGCCTCTGACAATATTGTCAGGTATCGGCTCGCTTTCCGTCCAGTTCGATCGGCAACGGGAGCGGAGAAAGGAACGCTGAGAGCCCGAAGGCAGCAGCCCCACCACCGCCGGCCCAGGTTACCATCACGCACCGGGAAAACACGCTAGAGAGCCACCGCCGGCACAAGTGTAACGTAACCCACCGAAACCACCATGAGCAACGAGGCCGAAACACAGCAGCAGCCGCAGCAGCCCGCCGCCGCGGAGAGCCCGTCCAGCCCGGCAGCCGCAGCTACCGCGGGGGATAAGAAGGTCATCGGTGAGCCCCCCGGTCTCTCGTATTTTTTTCTTTTCCCGTGTTGTTACGTGATTTGAACTGGGGACGCGACGCCGAGGTTGAGGGTTGGAGAGGTGACTTTTTTTCTCCGGCGTGCGGTGTGTCGGGCTCCGGGGTTTCTTTGTGTGAGAGAAGTCGGTTGAGCGTTGATGGTTGAGGGAGAAAGAGAGGGGGGGTGTCGAAAAAAATAATTTGGAAAAAATAACGAGCGGGCGGCCTCGAGCGGGTCCGGGGCAGCAACGGTTCTCGTCCCGTCGCCGTGGTGACGGGAGCGGGCTGCGCTCTCGAGCCCCGGCGCGTGCGGGGAGCCCGGCGGAGCGGAGCCGGTGGGTGGGATCGGGCCGGAAGCGCCGGGGTGGGTTTGTGGATTCCGCTGGTGGGTTTGGGATAGTGATCGGAAAGACACCCCCCCCCCCTTACTCACAAACACACACTACTTGCCCACGCATCCCAATTCCTCCCCTCCTGGGGGTGGGGGTTTCTAGGTGTGGGTTTGGACTGGGCCGGGCCCAGGGGACACATGGCGATCCGGCCGCCTTGCAGGGTCTGTGCGTGTGGGGGAGGAGGGGGGGGGCGACGCAGGCGAACTTGGCCTTGCTCTTCACCTCCCCGGGGCAGCCGGGGCGATACTGGCCGCCCGCCTCCCGTAAGTGGGTCAGGTCGCGTTCTCCCGCGGGCCCTTCCGCACGGAGCCCGCCGGGGCCGGCCTGCAGTCCCCGGCCCGCGGGTAACGCGAGTGCCGGGCTGCGGGAGGGCCGGTGTGAAGACTCCCCCTTCCTCACTGCTCCTCCACACACACACACACCCTTTGTTCATTACAGTGCGGTGTAGTAACTTGAGCGTCGTGTACGGGCCGAGGGTGTGCAGCCGCTTCATAAATCGGCAAAGCCGTCTTTCCCGACGAAAATGCCGCTTGACGGCTTACAAAAGAGGCGTCGCGTTCCCCCCCTCCTCGGATTATACTAGCGGCTGTGTGGAAACTTGGCGAGGGGGGAAAAAATCCAAAATGTCCGCCGCGGTGTTTGGATACGAGAGGGATTTCTTTTGTCTGAGGGAGGCGATGTTTTTTTTTTCCTGGCGTGTGGGTGCTGGGGAGGCGGGCGGCGTGACCAGGAGGACCGGACTGCGGCCGATCCCCGTTCCCCGTAGTTTAGGGTGGGGGGGGGGCGATTAATCGGCGGCCCTGCCGTGGAAATCGCCGTCGGTTTGGCGCGGATTGTGGGCGTCCGTCCAGCCACATGGTAGCGCGTCGGGCTGGGAAATATGGAAGTTTCGCGCTGTAACAGGCGGAGACCAGTACAATCGTAATCCCCTGCGCGTCCGTTGTACTGGGAATAATGGAAGTTTGACTGGCGATGGACGGCCGCTTGAATGATTAATTTATCGATACTGTATTTAGTTTCGCGTCCGTGTGGGGAGAGTGCAGGAGACCACGTGTGAAGCATTCTGACACTTCCTTATATCGTTACAGTGAATCATTCTTGTTACAGGAAAGAGCCGAGGTTACGATTGGTTCTTTGTAGCAGCAGACTGTTGAAGCATGGCCGGGCCACGTCGTATACCCCTGTATAGCCAGTAGAAGTTCTTTCGCCCGAAATTATGTTCTGATCCAATCAGCGGGGTTGGTGAATGTATTTTGGACACGAGTTCATCATACTGCTGAAGTAGTTAGTTTTGCAATGGACAGCTAGGCTTTGCATCATAATCTATAAAAAGCTTGTCACCATGTGGTTAAATATAGTGTCCAGATAGTTTTACAAGCCCTACCCCACTCAATAGTCGCAGCACTCCATGCTCCTAGTTCTGAGTTTCTCTGAATTCGGCCAATTAACCAGACAATAGCTGTAGGTCCCGGTTCTGAGCGTTAGGTCCTCATTTTATGTTTCCACTTTTCCTAGTAAACCTTTTCTCCTAGTGCTTACATGGTCAGATTTTAATGAGAGTGATGTTACAGTAAAGTCCAAGGAGTGACTAGAATATAGTTCATAAGTTGTTAAATACGGAAAGCAAATCGGTTCCAATTTTAAGGACTACATTTTTTTTTTAGACAAAACCTCTGCTGTTCATTATTACTGTATATACTTAAAGCAGATTTTTAAGTGACACATGATTTGAATAATGCTTAAAGTTACAGAGGTGTGGAGAGAATTTAAATATTTAACCTGTTTTTTGTCAAAAGAGACTCTAAGAGCCTCTGGGCTGAAGTGTGATATAGAGCTGTAGTTTTGCAGAGATGTGTAAATGACAGGAACGTGACAAGCAAGGGTGTACTGCCTACAGTTAGACTCCTGTGTGTAGAGAGAGAATGATGGTAAAGCATCAGTGCATGGTGAAATTAAGGCTCTACAATTACATTTTACTGTAGAATACGTTAAATACAAAAGAACCCATCAGAGTGAAAGTCTGCTATGAGACATTATAATGTGGTTTTCTTTGTTTTCTGATAATTCTGGTGTCTGGAATTTGTAAGTTAATAATTGCCTGACTGCTCTCTGGGTATATGAAGATGTAAGACTTATTTGTTTTCCAGCAACAAAGGTGTTGGGAACAGTGAAGTGGTTTAACGTGAGGAACGGCTACGGTTTCATCAACAGGTAATTTAAGCTCTCTCGCCTTGTTTAGGACATGGATGTGACCTGTGGGTCTGATATCGTGCTCAATCCTATTAGCCAGGTTATTTGCTTGTACAGCTGTAGATTTATTAGTCAGTGTCCTGCTCCTGTTTACTTGCTGGGGTTTAGCAAACCATAAGCCTGTTAATTTAGATTGGCTTCAGTGCTTGTGGAAGTTAGTGCTTTCCAGAGAATAACCACATCTACTTTAAGCTGCTAAACAACCCACCAAGCAAGATAGGTCAAAATACCAAGTCTTCTGTGGAGTTTATCATGCTACAGTATTCGTAATGATATTCAGTTGTATAATTGCATGTCTGTTATGGGAAGTCCTTAGAATATTTTTATTTTCTGTTTTTCAGGAATGACACAAAGGAAGATGTCTTTGTACACCAGGTTTGTAGAAACTTTAACATTCCTTTTTTTTTTGGTTAGAACTAAATTGTTCTCAAGCAAGGACATTACCAGTCCTTTACTGACTTGATTTGAAAGTGCTTTAATATTGATTGTTCTATAACTATAAACCTTACTCATAGATAATGGTCAAATAAAAGCTCCAGTAAAATGTGATAAATGTAATCTCAGACACTGAAGAAAAAGTGGTTCTAAGGTTTAGATGTCTGAAAGAATAGTTAAATACAGGAGGAATGTTAACTACAGAATCTTTCTACTGTTAACATGGCAGTTACCTGCGTATCCCTGGAAGCTGTTAGAGGCTGCGTGACTGCTGCTTTGCAGTTTCCTTGAGTGTCCTCCGGTCTTTGGTTTTCGCAAAAGTAATTTAGCCGGTTTTGTTTCCAGACCGCCATAAAGAAAAACAACCCAAGGAAGTACCTGCGCAGCGTTGGAGACGGAGAGACAGTGGAGTTTGATGTGGTCGAAGGGGAGAAGGTAATAAACTGTGCCTTGGCAGACTGAAGCCAGGAGGCCTGTGTTCCATCAGGTTTCAGGACCGTCAAATAAGAATTTGTTGTTGAGCACATCTGTAAACTTGAACACGTGTCAGCTAGGTTCTAACTGACTTTAGAAGGCCCTTTCCTGAGTTTGGAACAGTGCTGTCAACCGATTCCAGTGGTTTTTAAGTCTGCCCTTTCAGTTGTAAATCATCAGGTTTAAAGTGCTCATGTACAAAATTTGCTATGAAACGTTACTGTGTTTCTGCATTAGTAAATGGTGTTTATTCTTGAAATTGATAGATTCTTAACATCAGTTATTTAAGACTCCACAACGAAGTCTTTTTCAAATTCTGGGCTGCAGTTCCAGAGCCACTTACTAGGATTAATATTTTGATCTGTGTGATGTTTAATGTTTCTAAAAGAGCACTGTTGAATCAGATGACTTCTGGGGGGTGTCCCAGTTGGTTCTGAGATGGCTCTATTTGCTTAAACTTCCTTCCTGCTTCCCTTTGAAGTCATTCAGCAATTTCACGGTATCCATTAATTGATAAAACTAAATTTGTAAAGCAGCTTGATTCAAGTTTAGTGTTCTCCAACATTAAGCATGTGTGCTAAGCAAGCATTTATGTATAAGTGAAAAGACTTCTGCAGTAGCAAAAACGGAGTCAAACCATGGAGTGTGCGTTTTATAGATTGGATCGAAAAAGATTAGAAACCAAAGATACAGCTGCATGCAGCAATGAGTGGAGGGCTGTAGGACACTTGAGAGGCAACAACACTGACATTTTTCACTAGAACATATGGTTTCCTGTACATGTTCCTTAAGAAGCTTGATAATATCTGTAGTCTCTGATATTGTACAAGTTTGCATTTAGGATCTTTTGACAGCTCATAAGTATGGATTCCTGTATGGGACACAGTCTGCACTTTCTTAAGAGGTTGACGGTTTTGTATTTGACCTTTAGAAGAGGTCGAGGGTTACAAGGAGTTTTTTTTATTGCACATGGTTTTCTATACTTGACCCATTAAAACCATGATTCTGTAAGGTTTTTGATTTTTCATACGTCTCGACCCAAGTTTGTCGTTGCTGCTTAAGGTTCCTGTCTTCGTTCCATAGTAACCCTGACCTTATGCACCTGTTATGGAGTAATACGATTATTTTGCATTAGCCCATAAGAAGACATCAGAGCTCTTCAATGACTGCCAAATCATGTGGCCAGTCATTATTTAGTTGTGAATTACACTTTACATTGGCTACTCCTTTTCTTCGGGTATACTCTTGAGCCTGCAATGCTCTTCTACATACATCTACATGAGTATGTATAAATGAATGTTAGGAATAGCTGGACTTTGATTGGCATATTAAACTTGTCAGAGTGTACCTATATGAACTTTAATACCAATTGGCCAAGCAGATTAAGATAAGGTCATTTGATTGGTTTTGTCAAAAAACACTGGCAATCGCCATGAGACCAACTGGCATTACCCGAAAAGGGCTAAATCGTGGACGTCAGATTACAATGCCATGTATTTCCAATCTAGTTCAGTTGATTTTAGAGCAGATTTTTGCTACTTCACACCATTTCACCTGTGTACTACTTCTCATAGGCTTTGATAGTCGTATGAAGTATGTTCTGAGGAATGATGTATACCTTGTCTTCAGGTGTGTGGATTTGTGGCTGAATATATAACTACAAAACTTAAGACCCACTACTTTAAAAAGTTCAGCCGATACCTGCGTAGTTTTTTTAGCGAGCATTAAATAACCTGTTACTCTTACTAGTAAGTACTTGGCCTTTCAGCAAACTTGACAAGCTGGGCACCTACAGCTGTTGGCTTGAAAAACATTAGTGCTACTTTGAATGGGTGACTCATGGGAATTTATTTGCATTCGGATTAAAACAAATTGATTGTTTTATTTAGCATTTTGAAGACTTCTTTGTGTGCTATAGACCTCTAGCCCGAGTGTGCAAAAGATTTAAAACCTCCCATATGCTGCTATAAACTTCATCAGCTGCTGTTATAGTTGCCTGCAGTAGGAAAAGCTCAGCAAGACTGAGGAACTTGTTCAGTGGTAGAAGTGGGAATGCCTTGCATACCTCGCCTTGTTTAGAACGAGGCTCTATGCTGCTGTTTTTAAGCGGCATTACGGAGCATCGACACTGTCATGTCTTAAGATTCCAGTTGTGATTGAGGCATCGTCTGGAGTCGCATCGCAGGTGAAGCTCAAGCTGAAACAGTTCATGTGAACTTGGAGGTACCTATGCAAGGTGCTGGGGGTGGGGTTGTATAGGGGGGGCTGTGGGGCTGGTCCGGGTACCCTGCAGCACTAACGGCCGTTCTCCTTCCCCGTCAGGGTGCAGAAGCAGCCAACGTCACAGGCCCAGGGGGGGTCCCAGTCCAGGGTAGCAAATACGCAGCAGACCGCAACCGCTACAGACGCTACCCTCGCCGCCGCGGGCCTCCCCGCAACTACCAGCAGAACTACCAGAGCGACGGGGAAGGCGAGGGGGGGGAGAAGAGAGAAGGGGGCGAGAACGTGCCCGAAGGAGATGTGCAAGCTCAGCAGCGCCGGCCCTCCTTCCCTCGGCGCCGCTACCCCCCTTACTTTGTCCGCCGGCGCTACGGCCGCCGCCCCCCCTACACCAACACACCCCCGCGAGGAGAGATGACCGAGGTAACCTTCTCGCACTGTCCCCAGAGAAGTCACACGCTCGGATTCCCAGCTCGCTGCCCTAGGCTCGGGTTTTCATTCAGTTGATCACCCCACTAATTACATCAAAGCGTTTGTCCTAGCTAATTCGGCACAATTATTTTACAACATTGTTTTTGGTTGTGGTGTATGTGTAAATGTTTTGGGTTTACTGTATAAAAGTTAAAGGAAGGCTACACAGTCTGTGTGTTAAAGCACAAAATTGTGGAAACCACCCTCTATAGTACACCTAACTTTTGATTGTTTAATGTAAATTACAACAGTTTTAGTGTAGTACCTGTTAAATGGGAAAATAAAATTGGAAATGCTGTACAGTATGATTTTGCCAGATCACTGGGAGCCCATCTACTGTAGTGCTGATTCCATCTCTCATTCAAATGAGAGATTCACAAAATTAGATATCCAAAACGTTTGGTTTCATTTTCACTATGGCTTTTGTAGTGGGTGTATGGGATGCAACTTCTTGCAAAGGAAGGGTCACTTATTGAAAAGTTGGCATTAGCTGTCAGGACTTGAACAAGAAGAAACGTAGGCAGTAACAACTTTTAATTTTGACCTAAATTTAGATGTAAGTGTTTGGCTTTACTGTGTGTATCCATTTACAAAACCTTCATTACAAAGTATCTATGACATCCCAGCCAATATAATTAAATCCACAGTGCCCGGGGTCTTGCTGCCCAGAGCTATTCTTCCAGGGCCACATCTAGTGCAGGCTCAGGGCTGTAGAAAGCTTTGTAAATGTACAGGGTTTCATAGTAATTCATAAGTAAAAAGGATGTTTTTGCCTAAGCATCGTACACTTAAGATCTGTTTTGTAATGAATTTTACACAGGAACTAAGCCTTGCTTCTGCACCTTGCTTTTATACTTGGAAGTGGGGAAGCTAGGCAGTTATACAGCAGGCTTCTGGTCGCTCTGTTTGATGATGGGGGTATGAATGCTTCAAGGCTTGAATGTGGAGTGGTGGTGGGCTTACGTACTTTTGTTTGTTCTGTTGCAGGGTGGTGAAGGCGATGAAATCCAGGGTGGTGCAGACCAGGGCAATAAACCAATGAGGCAGAACTACTACAGAGGCTACCGCCCAAGGTTCAGGCCAAGGTTTGCATGTTGTATTCACTGATCTGGGGCTGCAACAACTAGCTGGTTGGAGGGCAGTTGACTAGCATTGCTCAAAGCAACTAGTCGCCTCAAAAGCATAAAAGAAGTTTCAGTAGCCTGACTTCAGACACCCTCAGTTCCTCCTCTTTTTGCTCTTCACTTCAAACTGTTAAAGATTTGGCCTGGCTCAGTTCTAAGATGAACAAAATGTGATGTGAAATTTTCACATGCAGGAGTACACTTTAAAATTCAGTTTATGAGCAAACAACTCTGACATTGTGTCTTAAAAGACTTGCAAAATATTATTTGGATCAAAAGAGTGATCATTAATTCCTATATGAATCGAGCATGTATTCCATGATGAGCAGCATGGCTCGAGAGTTCTGGATCATTGTGGGGTGGAAATATTGAGAGCGGTACCTTTTAAACCTCCACTCTTGTGAGTACTTATTAGTCCTTCACATGTAATATCTCCTTGGTGTTGCAGCCCTACATTGAATGGCAACTGCGTTTTTTTTTTAATGCACTTGGGGACTGCATAGGAGTCCCTTCTGTCTGTTCAGCTTTATTTCTCAATGCTTTCTATCTCTTCCATGTCCTGCTCTTACTTTTTATAGGCTTTGTAAACATCAAAGGGATAGGTCACAGTTGCAACAATTTCACAAAGGAAAAATGTCTATTATATATGGCTAATATTCTCTATAAACAACCAATTCATAACTCTGGAAATAGTGCAGTTGGAGTGAATTTTGCTTCCTTCCAAGATGGTTTCAGTGATTTTTTGGGGGGGATTAAATTAACCTTTCCTACTTTTCTTTCTTTTACATTCCTAGAAATAGAAACTTATAACCAGAAAACTGAGTGGTCACAATAGGAAAATAGTTTCTCAGGGATGGGTTTGCTACCTTGTTCTGAACTACATTATCCAGACTCACTAGCTGGAAATTATGGGCTGGTATAGTCTGGGTGAATTAACAGGCAATACATTTATATGTGGGCATATCCAGCAAATTCTGGACATCTCTGATTTCTAAAGTAACAACACAGGGGCTCATTCATGTTTATGGCAGTGACGCATCTGTTGCGAACTGTCTTTACTACAGGAAAGCGTTTGGGGACAAATGTGTAGGAAATACTGAAAGGTTTTGCAAAGACCAAGGAAAGCTTATGTCGACGACTTCATAATTCATTTCATAAAGAGGTTAATTTTCTAATTGTCGGCATGGAATTCACCTTTACCTGTTCCTTGCGATCTGCATGCTGAGGCACTTCCTTTATTTATGTTTGGCTTTTTTTTAAAGGCAGGCTGATTCAATTACTCTTTATATGTGCAGATGTCAAGAGCTCTGTTGTATAAGTGCTTCCCAGTATTGTGCAGCAGGCTGGTTCTCAAATGGCAGTTCAGTCATCCTGTGTGTCCGCTTATGGGATGAGTCTTTGCCAGGCCCTGTAGGATGTGCGCACTGGGTTCTGCTGTATTTACACCTGTTCTGTTGGGTATGCAGTTTTGATCAATTAAAATGAGTAAAAGTTAACTTTTTAAAATTCTGTGTAAAATACGCTCATTCAGAAATAGGAAAGCAACAAACGGTGGCCTCGAAGAGGTGGGTAACTGGCCGGTCTGTCTCCTCTTCCAGGGGTCCACCCCGTCCCAGACCACCACGGGAGGGGTCCGGTGAGGAGGACAAGGAGAACCAGGGCGACGGATCTCAGGGCCAGGAAGCCCGCCCCCGCCGGTACCGCCGCAACTTCAACTACCGCCGCAGACGCCCGCAGAACCCCAAACCTCAAGATGGCAAAGAGAACAAGGCAGCCGAGCCACCAGCTGAGAAAACGTCCGCTCCCGAGGCCGAGCAGGGCGGGGCTGAGTAAAGACCGGCTTACCATCTCGACCATCGTCCGGGTGCGTACCCCTGCGCCACTGGCCTGCGTGCCCGCTGCCCCTCCAGTCGGGGGTTCGGTTCTCACTGCGCACTGCCTCCAGGAAGAAATGCCATGTCCTGATCTTTTTGAAAGCATGTCTTTTTTTTTTTTAAATAAAGTATAAATTAAAGTGGAGACAACTTTCTTGACTGTGGAGGAAGTGGGGAGGGAGCGTGGGAGAGCTGCACCGTAGCTGCATGTTAAGATCTGATCTAAGAGAGGAAAGTGCAGTATTGGACTGGCTGCTGCAGGCCGTTGCCCATGAAGGTTGGAGGGAATGCTTCAGTTGTTCACTGGGGACTCCATTTGCTGTGTGTGGGGAGGAGGGGGGTGAATTCCATGGGAGGTAATGGAATTCGTCTTGGTCATCTGCCCAGGCAGCTTTACCAAGTGGCATTTTAAAGCCTGCTTCCATCGGCACTTTTCATTGATGCTTAATCAGAGCAACCTAACGTGGTGACCCAAAAAAAAAAAGAGGTAATGCGGTGGATTTGATAAAGCAAACATTGGCAGTTCCACCGGGGCTCTCTTCCTATTGTGTTGATGTTCTTTGGGCTCTTTTTCTGTCGCGCTGGCTTAAGCCTTGTTTTGCTCAAAGTGACAGTGACCCAGCATGCTCTCTGCAGACCTTCTTCATGTGCAGCTGTGCTCGAGAGCTGGGCCAGGTCTGCTTTGACCTTTCTGGGCAGTGCAGCACATGCAAGAGTGTGATGCGTGCAGGCAGGGTGCAAAAGCAGTTTTCCCCAATGAGAATGCTGACCTTGCAAGCTTACAGACCGGCTGCGGTTTCAGCCAGGAGACGGCCCTTAGTAGGGAAAAAAATGAATCGTATAAAGTAAGTGTCGCAAGAACACGAAAAAGCAAATGCTGATCAGTCATGCTTTCTGTTTCGCCAACCAGAAGCAGATCTCCGTGTGTTAAAGTACGTATGTCCCTGTGATGCTGGTGTGCTTTCCTGTCCACACCAATACAAAATGACGTATTCTTTTTCTTATGTAAGCACAGTATTTTAGCGATTAAGGCAAAAATACCCTTGCGCAAACTTTCTCCTTGGGAAAGGATTCAATCTTGCATGGTGCTTGATGTATGGAAGCTTTTAAAAAAGGAGCTGTTAAAATCTTTTAAAATTTACATTGAGACAGTTCACAGACTGCAGCCCTGACAGTATTGAGTGGGTCCACATTTTAAGTGGAACAGCTCCTAGTGGAGTAGGGACTATGCAGGGAACCCATGTCCCGACACCACTAGACTTTTAAACCTGTGATAAAGGACCAATGAGAAGAATTAATATATTGTGTTTTTGTTTCAGTTTTGTCAACATGAAGAAACATCAAAATGAAAACGAAGAGACGAGCAATAAGAAACAGATTTGACTTGACGATCAGTGAAAGCTTGCAACATGCGTTTGACCAGATACCACCGATTGCCTGCAGAATCTATGCAGCCCTGTTTTTCGTTACTTTTCTCTGACAGCTAAGAAGAAAATTTTTTTCGGTAACAGCAGAGGTTTTTGTAAATCGGTCTTAAGTTTTTACATCTAATGGTTTTTAAAGAAAATAATTTGATATCTGGTCAATTTGACATTTTTAAATACAAAATTTTGTGTACCAATAAATTTTAACAGAAAAAAAAACAAAGGCAAGCGCAAATAAAAGTCAAAGAAAAATTGTCTGAAGTTGCATTTTATTGGGCTGGATGAGTTGTAACTCGTAAAGACACTTGTAATTATTTTGCTGTGCTTCAAGTTTTGGTAGAATGGTACTTCATTTCTCCATTTTACATCTCTTTGTCCACTGCTAAGTGGTCTTGTTTGGTTCTTTTCATTCTTTGTGCATGCTGTTGTGAAAGCCTGCCTCAGTCAAAAGAAGTACTTCTGTAGGAAGTATTTTGTATTCTCTCCATTTTAAAACAATCGCTTAAGAAATCATAAAGCTTAATATAATTGCTAACTAGACAAGAATAGTTTCGAGATGGAAGCCTTAATCTTGTGTTATTGTGGAGGTCTGTGCATAATGTTGGGGTTATTTGCAGTTGGTATCTTATACAGGGCTTTTCCATGAGGAAAGACTGTAAAGAAGATGCTTAGTCTGAATATTAAGTTGGTTAACCATAAATAGTTGCCTTTAGGTCAGTACTTGATATAGTGCTCAATGTCTTCACTTGGCATTTTTAAAATGTCCTCCCCTTAGACTTGCATTTCTTTGTCCCAGTTAAAATGTCAAAAGCTGCTAGCTGCAAAACAAGGTAGCTTTTCTTTTAACATGTTTGCTGCCAAGTTTTCCTTCATTGTACCCTCAGTTTAAAGATGACTCCAATTACAAATTCCAGAGCCTGTTGAACTTCCATTTCATTACTGCAGTTTACCTGTTGATGCATGCGTATGCATTTGACCATGCCAGTTATTTTTCAACATGTATTTGGATATCGCACAATTGGGGAGGTTTCAATTAGAAACTTAAACCTATTCATGGTCCCTGTTGGTACTGAAAAATCGTCTAGTGGAGATGCAGTCTGCTAATTGTCTTTAAAGGGTAGATGCTGATTTGTAAAAAATGCGAAACAATTGATACATTAGCTGTTACGAACTAGGAAAAAATGAGATGCTGTTTTGATTTCCTAAAATGGAGACACCTATAGTTTTGATCCACTCCTGTGTGTGATAATGGACCATTGTCTATAGTTTTATATCTGTATGTTACCTCCTATTGTAATATATATATATAATTGGCAAAACTCTTATTTGAAAATTCCACCTACCAGTTCTGTTTGAGAAAATTTTGTTCTGCATTGTTATACTTTTAGCTGGAGTGGTGTTATTAAAGATTTAGGCAGCAAGATGGTACTTGATCAAAGTGGTGGTCTCTACGAAGGATTATGCACATACGTGAGTTGCTTCTAGCCTGCACTTCATATTACGAAATGCCCTCTAGGTTAATGCTGCCTAGTTTCTGCCCGTGTGACAACTGTGCAGACAGCTGCCAAGTGCTGGCAGTCCTGCAAAATGTCAGCTTGGCAGTGGCAACAGCAAGATGGACATCATGGGGACATGGAGAGAGCAGCACAGAGGTTCCGGTGTTGGAGGGAAGATCAGGTATGTGTATTTAATACAGGGCCCCATCCATCACTATGTCCAGAGCTGTCATGAATGGCATTCGAGATGCTTCTAATTTTCCTTTTTTTTTCCCCCCTTTGGAATCTGCTAGACTGGAAAATGAATTTGTATTAGTAGTTAAGAAGCACGTGTTCATGTGTTAAATCGCCAACCTATTGATTAAAAACTTCAAATATTTTCTGTCACGCCTGGGTTGGAGATCCGATACTGCGGGAATGGGTCCGAGCAAAGTTTTCTAAAACTAAGGTCTTCAGAAGTATCCCTTTGTGTCCCGTTTGATATCCGGGGAGCACATTTCAGCACAAGCGTTAAAGCTTTCATCTTGGGAGAATTGAGGTGTGGAGTGTTAACTACAAAAGCTTTTCTTGTCCATCCCGGGCCTGTTGTTTAGCTCAGTGTTGGTAGTATCCCATAGTGCCCTACAGTTCTTAACCTCCATTATGCGTTTTCGGAGAGACGGCAAAGCTGAAAGGTTACACTTGTTTTCTGTAAGCCATTACGTGTTACTGTATGTAGTCCACGGGACTTTCGCTGGACGTTTGAGGTAGGTTATTCCGAAACCATTCCCTCTTTAAGAGTTTTATTTCTGGGTGCAGACTGAATTTCGACGCAGAAGTTTTGGAAAGTGGCGTGTGTGAGATTTGTTTGCTACGGAAAGCTCGTTTGGGTCGTCTCTTGCCTTTAAAAAGCGGAGCCCTTCTCGGTTTGTTGAATTCGTTAAATCCCTCCGCACGACTGTGTTAATCCTTTTTACACGGTCGAATCAGGACTCGTAGGCCAAACAATTTCAAAATTTCGTAGTCTTTGCAAAACAATTTCCATACCAACATAGAAGTTTAAATTCGTTCTAATAAAGTAATTCCCCCATTGTCGAATCTCCGCCAACGCCGAACGTACTAAAACTAAATTTATTAAGCTGAAAGCATGGTTGTTGTTTTTTTTTTGTTAATATTGACTGCCCTTCCAAGGTGAATAGCGAAAAGTGAAGCTGTGATATACACCCAACTTCGTATAAAGCAAGGCTTCAAACGAGAGCGGTAATTAGGCCATTCAACTCGTTTGGTGTGTAAGAATATATGAAGGTTAAAGCACTGTGTTAAATAAATTATCTTTGGTTGCAGAAGTCATACAGTTTATTTCAGTTTAATCCAAGTGTAAACTTAGTTAAACTTAATGGCAGGTATGAATTTACTTGTAGCTGCTTATTACCATAATATATAGTTGGCAATACTAGTTACAAAACCTGTACTACACTGCCATAGGAGAGCGTTTTAGACTTTTTGGGAATATTTGTCACCTAAAATTAGCCCCTTGAGGATTTTCTACTCATTACAAACACTGCGTGGTTCAATAACAGGCAATTGATCCAATGTCTTCGGCGGTGATATCGCCCGAGCAGAGGCGCTCTCTGGGAGGCGTTTGGGTTATTTTCAGTTTTTGAAACGGGGGTTTATTTTTCGCCGACTCGACCCGTCGTGTCGCAGGCTAATGCAACTGTTCAGTCTCGCAGTGACCGAAAAACAGGGGGGGGGTCTGTTTCTTTTGTAACACCCTCAACCCTGCTCCACAAGATCTCTTTCTCCGTGACCGTACCCGGTAAACGCGAAGCCTTTCGCCTCCACCTCGTCGCAGTAACAGTTTAAGTACCCGGGCAACTCTGAATGAGGACATGAGCTGAGGCGCTTCACCAAATACACTTGACAAATTCACCAAAATATTCGTAAAATATCACTGGAACTACGCCGTCACAGCTCTGTGGGACAGGCTTTCTGTCGGACCTGCTGTTGTATTGCGTTAGGAGCAGACGTAGTGCCAATATAAACGGTGGGTAGACTAGTTTTCTCCCCGCAGGCAGAGATGGATTCAATCGCTGGTACGACATGCTGCGGTTTATTTTAACTACCTGCCGATTCAGAGCTCGTCCTCGCAGCATAACATTGCCATGCCGAGGGACGCGCCCTTCGGAAAATACGGTCGCTGAGGAAAAATACAAACTGTGAAGCAATATTCATGTGCAAGGTGTACCCCGGATTTATTCGATACCAGTTGCTTACGTGGCATGCCGTAGTCCGCGTACCCTTCCTTGAGGGATGCCCAAATTTGAAAGCAATCCACGATTGCAAATGATGAGCGCTGATGATGAGGGACAGTGCAGATTGAATGTAATGTAAACTTTTCTCTGTTTTGCTCATTCTAGGTCGCTGTTCCCCCGATCAACGCATGTTAATCGGGAGCTGTCCTGTTCAAGGCTATCATCAGCCCTTCTTCCCTGCCTGAATGGTGGTGTGGATGCCGAAGACTGGATCCATCTGAGGTGGCAAGGTTCCTGTGTAACAGGTGGGAATATCGGGAACCCACTCCAGGAGTGGGCTTTTGTCAATTTGGAATGATGCACAAAGATGCAATAGAGGCGTCTCTCACTTCGATATCGTATTCTCCACTAAAGTGCAGTCCGAGTAGCTCCAGCTGTACAAGAGTCTTATTCCATCACCACTTGTGTTTTGTACTGTGTTTAAAACACTCAGGTACACGAAACACTTGTGTACATAGGTTTGGATTTAAAATGCATTGTACCCTGTGACCGTTTTATATAACGTTTTTTTGCTTCAAGTCTGATATGCCACGGAGTTCTTTTGTGCTAAAAGTGAGTTCCTTCAAACACAGAAGAATAGTCACGTTTCGATACAGCATGTCTAGGGATAAAATACCATCATGTCTTAAGATGTAGCTGGCAGGTACTGTAGTTCTTCTGTCTGCTCTCCTTTTGTGTTTGTTGGCGTGTCTCATTGATTTTATCTCTGTTTCACATCCCCGCTTTGTAGTGTGTGAAGGAGGGTCACAGCTATTGTAAGTGTCCACTCTACGAGGGGCTTTGTAGATTTGGCCAAAACACATTTAGGTTTTACTCCTTGAATGGAAGTTATTAACTCAAGTAACAATGACAAATCGGTCACACACAGCTGTTCTTAATCACCATCATCGCGGAAATTGGCATCACGTTCGTCTCCAGCATCCCTCCGCCACCCCATCTCCACCTCACAGCTGCCCCCTGGTTCACTCCTCTCTGAATGTCGTTCAGGTCTCTTCGTCCTGAAGTCAGGTGGCTACCCATTAACCAAACAGATTGAGCCAAACCTATCAAACCAACTATTTCAGACGTTCACAAAGCGCTCAGTTCTTGGATGTTGTTGTGCCTGATGAAATAGTTTTGTGGTGCATCTAGGA